AAAAATAAAAATTATAAGAATTTCCAGACACAAAAGTACAGTATGTCCATCATAAAAATTTAGTATTATCAAGATTTTTGCCACAGTTCCTTAATCTATTTTTTTTTTTTTTTTGGCCTTGCAAATTGCACCCAGTGCCTCCACAATGAGCTGCATCCCCAGCCCTTTTCAGTTTCTGTTTAGAGACAGGGTCTCGCAAAGTCATAAAGTTGCCCAGCTAGGCTCAAGCTTGCCACTCGCCTGCTTCAGCCTCCAGGTGCTGGGATTACAGGCGTGTGCCACCATGCCTGGCTTTTTTTTTAAAACTGATTCTATGTGTCTCAATATGCATTCCTTAAAGGGGGAGAAAGGGTTATATAATTTTTTTTAAAAAGCAATTCTCTTATATAATGTAATAAACTTAATTATAATTTGCTTTAATTTTCTTTGTTTGGGAACTTTGCTTTTGTTTTTTGTTTTGTTTTGTTTTTGGTACCGGGAATCAAACTCACAACCTCAGGATTTCGAGGGAAGCATTTATGACACTGAGCTATATCCCTGGCCCACGTTTGGGAACTCTGAAGTAAAACAAATTATATAGTTTTAAATATTATGCACAAGTCACCACTGCAAGTATCCTATAAGACTCAAAAAACAGCTGTGAAATGAAATTCAATATGTTTTGAAATGGAAGGTACTGGCCTCCTGGCCGTCGAAAGCTGAGCTCACGAATGCCCGAGACAACACTTAAATACACAGTTCCAAGATTTTAGTCTCTGTACATTATTTTAATACAAAAAAGAACAGTACTATATACAAATATACAAATCTGAAATGTAACATTAAAATATAAAATGCAAGAGGGTAATAAAGTGGCATGGCAAGTTTTCTTCAGTGAGACTGAGTAGACAAATACAGACATACATGATTCTTCAGACATAATAAGCCAGAGATGGACACATTTTTAGTCATGATTAGCAAATTCTTCTGAAAATGGATGAGGCATTATAGGCATCAAAAGGGGAAACAACTGGTAAATCAGGTGTCTTGCCTACACTGTACAGTGTAACACAATGTGACTATCAGAATCTGTAGCTAAAGGTCCAAAGTGTAGGTAATACAGCTTTTGGGGGCCTTTATCAATGATTATACATTTGATATATAAACATCCTTAAACATGAAACAGTCCAGAATGATTGCATTTGTTGCACAATGACAGTCTGCTGTGTATCAACCTGATAAATACTTTCAAGTGGAAGGACCTACCTAGAAAGAAATGAAAGACTCCTAGAAAGAAATTACTAGCTCCATGTCAGCTTATGTTAAAAGGTCCATGAAAAACAAGTGTAGGCAAGAGACACTGACTACGCACCTACGTTTCAGAGTAATTCTTAAAAAAAAAATCTTGTACAAATAATAGTTGTCTTGTCTTACCAAAAAACAAAAATACTCCAAATTAAAATTAACCCCACAAATGCAAATTAGCTGAATTTAGAATAACAAAGCCAAAGCCAGCCTTGGCATCTGTGTATTAGTTTGATAAACTGCACCTAGGGATGGGAGCTTATGTAGCTCAGTGGTAGAGGTCATGCCTGACATGCCCAAGACCCTGGGTTCAAAACCCAGCACCATAAACAAACAAAACAGCTGCATCTAAAAAAAAGCATTTGCTGTTGTATAGAACTGATTAGTTTTCAGCACTAAATAACTATTATGCAGCCTCCCCTCTTTACAGAAAGAAAGATGTCTATCAGGAAATCCAGCAGAATACTCTTCTCATGGAATTTCACAAAAGCTGCAGAGCAGCCAAGAGTTGATGGCATTTAAGGACAGTAACAATTCGCATTTAATGTCCAATGATGGGCTTCGTGCCAATATTTTTTAAAATGTTAATTAAAAAATACTACTCATCTATTGCAGATCAAATGATGAGGAAAAAAAAATATATTACATCATACCCTAGCACAGAGTTACTGTATTTTTATGAGTTATTTAAATGTTTTAAATGAAGCCCTGTCTAGGTATTTAGGCTGTAACGTAAATGCTGACAGATCCTATTTTCAGCTCTCCAAATGAGCAAGGAGGCTTATGTGTGCAGGTTAATCCTCTTGGGCCGCAGTGGGTACCGCCTTCTCTGGGGGCAGTCTGATGGCCGCCTTCTTTTCAGCACCACGTCAGAGGCTGGCCTGGGAGCAGTCTCTGTGGGTGTGGTTTCTATCTGTGTTATGGAGCTCTCCGGTGTAGCATCTGGTTTCCCATCACCACTGGAAAAGACTTCCTGGTGTATCCTCTGGAGCTGGATAATAGGCTGCATCCTTAAAACTTGGGAAAATCCATCAGCTTGTTCAATCAATACTGGCAAAGTCTGAAAAAAACATTAAGCTCATGTTAAAACACAAGTAGAGGGATGGACACATTACACTTTATATTGGTTTTTTATTTATTTTACTTTTTTTGTCTTTTTGAGACAGGATCTCGCTACGCAGTTCAAGCTGGTCTTGAACTCACTTTGTAGCCCAGGCTGGTCTCAAACTCACAACGATCCTCCTGCCTCAGCCTCCTGAGTGCTGGGATTACAGGCGTACACCACCATGCCTGGCCTACATTTTAAATTCTTTAGGTTAAGACCCAGGATATAGTTCAGCAGCACAGTACCTGCCTGGCAAGCACAAGGTCCTGAGTTCAACTGCCAGTACCAAAAAAAAAAAAAATCTTCCAAGTAACAGTTTATGCTGGGCTTGGTGGCATACACCTGTAATCCCGGCATTTGGGAGGCTGAGGCAGGAGGCTCATTGCGAGTTCGAGGCCAGCCTGAGCTACAAAGTGAGTTCAAGACCAGCCTGAACTGCATAGTGAGACCTTGTCTCAAAAAGACAAAAAAAGTAACAGTTTAAGCTGAGGAATTCTATTGACAAAGCTACGACCAAAAAAATACGTTCTATTCCCACATGGTGGTAATGTTCCAGGAGTGATAGAACCTCAGAGGTAAGGATTTAATGTCTGGAATTCTGTACTTTAGGATACAGAGTACTTTAGAAATCTGAACAGCAGGGATTAGCACATATTCCCTATAAAGGACCAGATAGTAATTACTTTAGGTTCTGGAGGTCTTGTGTGTCTGTCATAAATACTCAACTGTGTTGGTGCAACGTAAAAAAAACCACAGACAACAGGTGAAGGAATGGGCACGGCTGTGCTCCAGTGAAGTGTATTTACAAAAGCAGGAGGTGGGCTGAATCCTAGCCTGGCCCATTACGGTACGCCACACGTGATCAAGCACGTGCTGTGAGAGACAGATGAGCACCAGAAAATTACACAATCAGTCCGAACCACAGTGTTTCCGGAAATTAACATCAGAACAGGGCAGATTCTGAAGGGGTTTAAAAGTAATTTTCATATGCCAAAATCCAAATGTTTTCCTATTTAGGTAAAATAAGTACCAAAATGTAAATAATTTTATTACAGCAATATTTACACTCTCCAGTTGGAGAAATAGTGAAAGTACAGATTCTAGGGCTGGGGTGCAGCTCCGTGGTAAAGTATGTGTTTAGCATATGTGAGGCCCTGAGTCCCAGCCCTGGCATGAAGGGGTGCAGATACAGATTCTAAATCCCAGCGCTCAGCCACTTATCTGGCAACCTACTTAGTCTCTTGGTGCCTCAGCTTCCTGGTATCTATTTTTTTTTTTTTTGGTACTGGGAATCAAACTCAGGACCTTGCACTTGCCAGGCGGGCGCTTATGCCGCTAAGCTATATCCCCAGCCCAGCTTCCTCATATCTAAAATGGGGAACTAACAGTACCTGTCTTGTAGGATTAGAATAAAGATGAAAGGAGATAATAAATGTGTAGTAGTTAGCTGCTGCCCAGTTTACACCAAGAGCTCAATAAATAAACATTGGTTGTACTATTATCCAAAATTATTTGATGGACTGCTAATATGCAGAACCTCAAAAATGTAACCAGCCCCTAAAGCCAGGTATAATACGTGGCACATAGTAATAGGTGTCTAATAAAGAGCATTGTGAATGTTACTGTTGCTTAATAAATGTGTTAAAAAGATCTACTGAGAGGACTACTAAGAGTGTATGTTACAGTAGACCAAAACACATACAGACACTCAGCAAATATATAGCCACACACATTTGTTCCATTTTTGTCATTTTTTAGCACATAGCTTTTACCTTCATGGCTTCACTGATCTCCTCAGCTATGGTTTCTCCTCTGCATTTCAAATTTTCCATACAAGAAGCTATAAAGAAACAGCCAAATAGTATTTCAGTTTTTAAAAAATCTAACAGCGAATTATAAAAGGCATGCAGGTGCCACCTGGACAGAACTGTACTATCTGAAAAGAACTCTTCTAGGATTATTTACCTTAGCTTCATCTTTCTGAGAGTATTTTGTAACCTATTAGCAGAATACTTTGTAATGTATTACAACAAGTGCCCTATTACATTGATTTAGTTAAGTGAAACAACGAGAACATTAATACAGTAGAGTAAACCTAAAAGTTACCCACGTAAATCGTAGACAGAACCTATTATCATAGTCACGACAGTGTGTGTGCCTAAAAGAAAGCCCAAAGCTCACCCTGCGTATTACTTACCACTGTGTTTATTTAGCATCTCTGAATAGCATCACAAGTTTATATAAATGTATGCAAATACTGAATTTCTGTATTACTCTGAATTTTATAAATTCAAAACATTAGTTCAACTTAAGACTACACAATCATACTGTACCGAGGCTATGGCTAGATGAAATTTCTAGGAACAAGAACTACACGCCTGACTTGCCGGACTGTACTGAGTAAAGAGGAACTCTCTTGGGCTGCCTATAAAATGCATACATAATTAAAATATATAGGTAACAAAAGTTTCTTTATTTTTTTTAATAGAACACAGGCCTGTAACACGTTGGAGAGAAACACCAGGAAAACAAGAATGACGTGTGTTAGTAAACAGAGAATATCAAGAAGAGACTGAAATTATAAAAAAGAAACAAACATTCTGGAGCTGAAAGATAAAATAGTTGAAATAAAAAATTCACTGGAGATTTTGATAGCAGATTTGAATAGGCAAAAGAAAAAAACAGGGAATGTGAAGTTAGGCCAAATGAATTATCTAGTCTGAAGGGAAGAAAGAAATAGTAATTAAAAATAATCAACAGAGCCTATGAGCCCCATGGACACTATGAAGCACACCGATATATGCACAACTGAACTCTTACAAAGAGAAGAAAGGCAAAAAAGTATTTAAAGAAATGATGGCCATTAAACTCTCCAAATTTGATGAAAAACATGAAGCTACACATCCAAAAAGCTCAACAAATTTCAAGTAGAATAAGCTCAGAAGGAGCTATATCAAGATATAATCAAAAGGTTGAAAGGGAATCTTGAAAACAGCATGAGAGAAGCAACCTATCATAGATAAGGGATCCCCAAAAAATCAACAGCCAATGTTTCATCAGAAACCAGGAAGAACAGAAGGCATGCCGTAAGGTATATGATACAGTTAAAGTGCCAAATGATAAAAATCTACTATCAGGACAAAATACCCTTCAATAGTGAAGGAGAAATGAAGATATTCCCAGATAAAGTTGAAGGAGACTGTCATCTAGTAGAACTGCACTATGAACATATTAAAAGTGTTTTTCAAGCTAAAATAAAAGCACAGCAGTGTTTTGAAGCCATATAAAGGAATAAAGAATACCAGTGATGGTAACTACATAGGTAAATATAAAAAGCCACCATAACTCATTTGTATAATTTAAAAAACAAATGGATAAAACAGTAATTATAAATCTGTAGTAATGAATAAACAATGTATACAAATATAATTTGTGACAATGACAACATAAAGGGAGAGGGACAGAACTGTATAGAAGGGGAAATTAAGTAATACTGAAACTATGCAGTGTTGAAACTAAGTTGGTTTCGAATTACATTGTTACAAATTTCAGACATGAATTGTAATCCTCAGGGAAGCCACTAACAGTTATGCAGAAAAGAAAAATGGTATACTACAAAAAGATTAATTGAATTTAAGAAGGCAGTAATGAAAAAACTGAGGAACAAAAAGGTAAATACAGAAAATAAATATCAAAATGGCAGAAGAAAAGTCCTTCTGTATTAGTAATTACTTTAAATATAATTTAAAACTCTCCAACTAAAAGCAGAAGTTAGAAAATGAATAAAGTTATGATGCAATTGTATTTTATTTACAAGAGACTCACTTTAGAGTCACAGGTTGAAAGTGAAAGGGTGAAATGAGATGTTCCATGCAAACAGTAATTAAAGCAGAGCTGGAGGGGCTGGGGATTTAGCTCAGCGGCACAGCACCTGACTGGCAAGCGCAAGGTCGTGAGTTCGATTCCTGGTACAGGGAAAAAAAAAAAGCAGAGCTGGAGTGGTTATAAACATCAAACAAAATAGACCTTAAATTCAAAATTGTTACAAGAGAGAATATATTGGTAAAAAGGGCATCCGTCCAAAAGAGCTAACAGTTACAAACATACAAACCTAACAGAGCTCTAAATGACATAAAATCTGACAAAACTGAAGGAAACAACAGTTCAGTAGTAAAAGTTAGAGACTTCAATGTCAACTTGTAGTAAGATAGAACTAGATAGAAGATCAATAAGGGAACAGAGGAATAAATAATGTTACAAACTAACTAGATGTAACACATATAGAATACTCCACCAAACAGCAAAATTAGGGGGCTGGGGATTTAGCTCAGCGGCACAGCGCCCGCCTGGCAAGTGCGAGGTTGTGAGTTTGATTCCCGGTACCAGGAAAAAAAAAAAAAAAAAAAAAAACAGTAGAATTACACATTGACATTATTCAGCCACAAAAAAGGATAAAGTAACCAGGCATGGTGGTGCATACCTATAATCCCAGCTACTCAAGGAGGCTGAGGCAGAAGGATCGAAAGTTTGGAGTCAGCCTGGCCAACCTAATGAGCCACCACCTTAAAATTTAAAAAAAAAATTTTTAAAGGTCTAGGGATATAGCCCAGTGCTACCCCCAAGGTTCAACTCTCTGTACTAAAAATTAACAAGGATAAAGCACTATACATGCCATATACGCCTAACGCTTAACAACATTAGGGTCAATGAAAGAAGACAGACATAAAAGGTCACATACTGTCTGCATCCATTTATCGGAAACAGAATAGGCAAATTATAAAGACAGAAAGACCAATTGTTGTCAGGACTGGGAGAGAAGGGAGTAGGGAATAACTTTAATGAGTATGGAGCTTCCTTTTGGAATAATGAAAATGATCTGGAAGCAGGTGAGTTGCACAACATTCTGGATGTACTGTGGGTATTTTGCCTCCATTAGTTCCAAAAGAGAGTATCCATGTGCATTAGCTGCTCTCCAAGACCCCAATGAACCCCTCCTCCTACTCAGTCTTCAGTCTTTCCCATACTGTGCCAGGGTTAGCCAGCGTGACTGGTACATTACACCTCAACTGACAGCAGATCACTTCCAAGACTAGCTTTTTAAAAGGCGATACCCTCTGTCTTTCCCCGCCATCACTCACTGTGGGAGAAGCAAGTTGGCATGTTCCAAGAAGTCTGCAGACAGCCAGGTTGCAGAAGGCAAAGCCTCTAATTTTATTAGGCCAGCAGGGCCTGAACTTTAAAAGCCTGCCAGCCATGTGAGTGGGCCTGGGAGCAGATTCCCAGTTCCCAGGGTGCCTGCCTAGGACCTGCTGAGAGGCTTATGCTGCAAGTACTCAGCCGAGCTATTACCAGGTCAATGACTCAGAAAGTGTAAGAGACAGTAAATATTTACTGTTTTAAGCTGCTAAACTTCAAGATAGTTTTCGAGGCAGCAATAGATAACTAATACAACACAAGAGCAACATATTTACAAATCAATATACCTTAAGTAGAGATCAGATTTCCTTATGTAGAAATTAAAATCTTGTGAATCCTGCAGTTTGGGTCTGGAATATCCTAAAAAATCCATGTGGTAAAGGCCTAGTGCCCAGTGCGGCGCTAGTGGGAGGTGGTGGCTTGGGCAGGGAGGGGGTCTTCAGGTCACTGGGGGTGTGCGGCTCCCTTACGAGAGGGAGTGGGCCTGCAGTCCGCCCTCTTTCCTGCTTCCCAGCTAGGAAGTGAGCAGTCTTGCTCTGTCATGTGCCCTGGCCATGATGTCCCACCCCAGGGCAAAGCAATGAAGTAAACTGGTCAGACTGAAACTTTCTTTTTTTTGGTACTGGGAGTCAAACTCACCACCTTGTGCTTGCCAGGCAGGCGCTGTGTCGCTAAGCTATACCTGGCGAAACTTTTTAAACTGTGAGCCAAAATAAGCCTTTTCCTCTTATAAGTTGATTAGCTCAGGTATTTCTTATAGTAACAGAAAGCTAGCACAGTAAGACTTATTTATAAATGCATATAAAGGCTATAAATCCCTTTAATGTAATTTATACAGATCTCTTGCAGCTTATGACAGACTTCACTTAAAATTTCAAATACATCTACATATATGATATCATTTGTTAAATTTTCAGTCACTGACTTAATAAACATATAATACCCTAGCAATATCAAATCTCAGGATAGGGAACAACTGGAATTATCTATCACACCTGATAGAAGAAGTAAACAGATGCAACCACTTTGGAAAACTTTTTAGTAATAGCAATACAAGCTAAACATATAAGCTGGGCATGGTGGAGTATGCCTAGAATCCCAGCATGCAGGATGACTGCTTCAAGTTTGAGACCAGCCTGGGCTATATAGGGAAACCCTGCTTCAAAAAAACAAAAAAACAAAACAGAACAGGACCAGGAGATGGCTCAGCGACACAGTGTTTGCCTGGCAAGCGCAAGGTCCTGAGTTTGACTGCCGGCATCAAAAAACAAAACAAAACATAAAAGCTAAACATAGGCCTACCATATGACCCGAAGATTCCTTTTCTAGATACATATGTCCATCAGAAATGAATGCAAAGACAACAGAACCATGTTCAAGGTAGCATTATTCATTTCGCCAAAATTTACAAAAATCCAAATGATGACCAACAGAAGATGAGTAGTTTATAAGAACATAATAGAGTATTACCATAGAACGCTTACTACTCTCAAAACGTGTGTATCTCATAGGAAAGAGCAGCACCACGCCAAAGAAGGCGCTACAAGAACGCACAGTGCAGGGTGGATGTCTTATGTCATTCAGGAACAGATGAAACCAGCCAGGTGTGGTGGCTCATACCTGTAACCTTAGCACTTGGGAGGC